AAAAAGTGTGTAACAATAAACGCATAAATGTGTCACGTATCAGGTTGAGGCGCACATTGCGTCACTAGTGTTAGAAAAAATGTGAGGTTAATGCAAAAAGTCATGAACGCATACGCTTTTTATACATAGTTCATATTTTGTTTTAACAATTGTTAAAGAAATCGTATATGGTATTACCGTTAATGGCATATATATCTTTACAATTAAATATATTGATAAGCCGCTTCTAGTGTATATATGTTAAATAGTGGGAAATACTGGGTAAGGTATAGTATGTGTTAGATTCACAAAACAATCTCAGCTATACTGACGCGTGCCACGTGTTCTTAATTTTAAGCGGAAAAAAACGACAAAGTTCAGTACAGAATATTGGTCACGATGTGTTCTGACGCAGCGTAATCACAAAATAAAGTCTGTATTGCAAGTGGTGGGTTTCATTTGTTATAAATGCATGATTGTATGGCATGGCAATTGGATTTGGTAGACGTATTTTTGAAAAGATACTGTTTTAAAAGAACGAAAGCATCTGGCGCTCTTTACCCGTGTTTGGCCCACTTCGTGCCGATTGGTGAACCGCGTTTCCATTGAAGGTGAAACAGTTCCCATACACGTTGTCTTGCATAACACGGAAATCACTGTAATTTAAACAAAACAAAAAAAAAAACACGAAAAATTAAATGTGTGCTCAAATTAAATAGTAAGTATATTTACTATTAAGTACATTGATATACAAGAAAGTTACCATTTTCAGAAATAAAATTTACAATAACTGCCTTATATGGATGTTAAAATGTATCGCCAACGCGACCAACTTATACACGCTTGACATTTAACATCAGGTACCGACCACGCCTGCGGTTTAATTGCGCATACTTATCTTTTATTTCAAACGTTTAATTTTTTTAGATTACAGATTCGTGCACGCTAACAAATAATAGACGCAGCAGAACTTGAAGCGATTAGAAGTTTAACATGAATACATAAATGCGGGTCATTATTTGGGTGAAAAAGGAGCAAAATTAGAGAGTACGTCGAATGAGGGAAAATACTAGGATAACAACACAGTAATTTGCAATTTTTAGTGTTGACGTCATCGTCATAATTATAAAAGTATTATCTTGTCCATTTTAATAGTATAATTTGTATGACAATTGTCATGTCGTTAAGAAACATAAACGTTTTCTATTCGTATTTATACGAACACTGCGGCGATTTAATTTCGTCCCTTCGCTTATGCAGGTTGCGGTTTCACAATAGGACTACAATAGGATACTTCATTATTTGTGAAGTAGGCTGCGATCAGTATCTTCACAATTAAAATAAATCAATTATTTAAATCAACATTTAATGAAAGTTTCAATTATTCAAGCACCACAGTTAATACTTAAATGTTTGCTGGCAGTCTCCATGGCAACAGCGATCGCTTTTAATAATTGTATTATATATTTATGTAATTTCTGATATTAAATGTTAAGATGACAGCTGATAAAGGCATGACGGGAATACTTGGAAAACATGGAAGAAACCAGACTAAAAAGTAAATTGTCGAACGAGTACCTGATGTCGCATTTCAAACCATTGAATTCACATTTCATGATAAATTGTTCAGCTTGGTGTCCCAGTAACTGTATATCTCCTTTCGTAAGTTGCATCAGTTCCTTTAAGTCTGCAAAGTCAGCGGCCTGGCTTGCAACCATCAGCGGCACCCAGCGCAGCTCTTCCATATTCGGCAAAAACGTGAAAGTTTTGTTCACGTAGAAATTATATCTAAAATCTTCGTAAATACTAGGATCCGAAGAAATGCCGAGAAACTTTTTGTTCCAGTCGTCCATAAAAACGTTTTCTGTAAGATTAAAGCGACATGCAGATGCGGCGGCACGAAATTGTGCATGGGGGGGGGGGTCTGCTAAATTTTGAAATCTAGATCCTCTGAAACGCTATTTCCTGCCTTTTGAGGAGCAAATTTTTGCTGACATACAAGAGTTTCAGCTGGATTTGTTGGGGGCCCCAACATTTTTTCGAGGGAGCGACCCACTGCCGCCCCGTGCCGCCGCCACTGACGCGCAGTCATGTTCGACGAATCGATGACAAGTTAAATTACATGTAATACTGTGATGTCATCTATCCATGTCACTTATTCGTTGAGCTGGTTTATACGGGCGAGGACTTGCACTGGTATTATCAACAAACCGAAGATAAGTGGATAATGCAGCCAAAGACGTCACACGTACCAACCAGATCTTCAAATATGTGATATCATGACATCATCATTGTTATCACATGGCCAACTAATTCAAATAGTTTAGTGTCAATATAATATTCCGTGAATATAAACAATTAATTGTTAAGGTTTTTATTTCAACATTAGACCACCAAACAAACGCAATCCCAGCGTTACTCGTCGAGACAAGAGAACAGTGATTGATGTTGAAGAACGTCAAGTTGAGACTTTCACCGGACTCGGAGTTGATGAGCCTTACGGAACTGTCGGCGACATACGGTCGTTCGTACGCGAAGGACTGACCGAGTTTGGGACGTATCCATTCGCTAAATCGTATATAATACAAAGAAATTGGAAAAAAAAAATGGAAAAAAAAATATTGAAAATTTATTGAAAATGCATCATACTTAACGCTGGTAACAAAGTTATCACTTCATTAAATCATAACCAGCGTACCTTCTGTGTAAGCGCAATTTTGTTCATCATTTCCGTTGTTACAGTGTTTGACACGATCGCACGTCTTCGTCTTTGGTATACACTTCATTTGGACGTCATTACATTCAAATGCATCCTCCGGACATTGACCTTAAAAGCAAATAATGAACATAGTGACTGATGTTGACGTGAACACTAGACAAGTGTAGATTGGCCGCGCGCGTACTGAATGCGCTGCGCTCAGCTTGTATCTTTTACGTGCGTTTGAGACGTTTCTAAGAATAGCTGCAATTGAGTTTGTTCACTACGTTACCATATATACGTTTTTTGTGTTTTCAACATCATGGTGCGGTTTAGAGAATTCACAAATGCATAGCTGTCAATGTGATCGTGATGACTGTGTTTAACATGTACTGTGTATAGTTTAATATCCTTTGTAATATGTACCTTCCACCCTGACATTATGTTTCCACTCATCTTAATAGTTTAGTTGGATATCAGTTCACAATTAACACGCTTTGAGTTCTTTTGAGAAATTGCGATTTTCACTGCCATCGGGGTTTTGACATTTCACTTTGATTACAATCAGACATTATAAACCGTTTTGATCCGTGCCGAATATTGCATTTACATAATATTATTTAGGGACGCGATTGTCTGTACATCCGTTTACGTACATATATAGTATTACGTGTGGGATTCATCCATCGGTCTAAATTAATTGCTTACAGCGCACGTTAAAGATGAATATTTTGTGAGGAATAAATGATTGCCCTGGCTTGACAACTGAAATACGTACTTATCCGTTGTTCTTACCAACAGCTAGGCCTGCTCGTCTTTCAGTTTTTTTTTGTAATGAATGCGAGAGTTGATAATATAGAGCCTGTTGGAAATAACTGCCAAAACTTGGCGCCATTGTGCATAAATTATGAGCCCATATGTCTTATGCATGTCTAATAGCACTGCGGCATATATGGGGAACACCGTTTCTCAATAAAAACAATTAATTTCAACACCGCCCTATCAATCAGCTCTTGGACTTCCAAGATGCACATATTTTCTTTGCAGCGTTTTTAGTCAAATAACATTAAGGCATGACATAACCAGATTTGCCGAAAATGTCGACCCATGACCGTGAGCCGAGCTTTCTCTTCTTTGCTACGGATGATATGCATGTGTTTTTTTTTGTTTGTTTCCTGACCACTACAGCGACATCTGACGCTTCTGCGCTTTGCGTTATGGATATTCTAACACATTGTATTACATGCCAGTGACCTAATTTACATAATAGAAAAGCTTATTCCTTGTGTAGCCAATCACCGGGACACACAAGGTTCCGCGAGTTCTACTAGACGCGTACATTTCTGTCGTTGCCTAGCTGTCATTCGCTTAATTGCTTTCTGTGCAGGTAGAATTTAAAGCAATGGAATGAAATACGACATATTGAAACACAATCTGTATAGTGTAAACGCGCATTGTGCTTCACTATACAACTACGCACAGACAGACACCAGATTATGAAATAGACATGTGCACACAATTAACGTTACATTGTTTATTGTTTTCAATTCGCATTTTCACCAATAACCAATTTTGATTTCTGTTTATTTGAATATATTTAACAAGATTAATTTTCTATATATTTGTTTTAATACACAGTGCACATTATCCGGGTCGACTGATTTTGTCGTAACTAAAAAAAAAATACTTTAAACCATGTTTCATAGCGACGAAACGAACGAAATCACTTTATGAAATACAAAATTGTCAGGGTTATAATGGGCTTGCTTATAATACTCATCCGATACCAAATAGTTAAAATAAAACACGCGGCTAAATATATTGAATGTATATTTCGAATTTCGCGAATCCAGCGTTTCATATTTATACTGTATGTTTGTTTATGTGCCAGTAACTTTAACTTCCACACTAGAGTTGAAGTTTCGAATTATTGTGGATAATAAATACCTACATTCATAACTTTTGACATAATTAATACATCATAGGTAATTTGAATTTAATTTACCATTATTGTACGGACAATTACTTTCGTCACTTCCATCATCACAGTCATTTATGTAGTTACACAGGGCTGCAGGTGGAATACACTGCGAGTCGCATATGGTCCAATCGGCGGGGCAGCTGCTGACATCAGCACTAACAACATCTATGAAGAACGAACGTTGTGATTGGTCGAATGCATTATTATATGAATAACGACTTTTCGTCAGTCTGCAGATAAGCTAGCTAAACATATAACGCCCTGAAGTACAATTACATGTTTTCTTGTGAAGCAACACTTCATATATATAGAATTGATTGATGTACATACATGTTTAATAACAAAAAAGTAATATTTAATACAATTGCGATGTTTAACCTACCGCCATTGCAAAGTCCGCTTTCCATGAACCCCTTGACGCACTGGTTGTTATCGCAGGTGATATCGCCTTCGATGCAGGGACCTTTATGTTTAGTATAAAAATAGCAAAAAATAAAAAAAAAAAAATCTTTTTCTCACGAGATTGAACATTTTGTATTGGACGTGCGGGCTGGCTACGCAAACCATATAACAAACAATGTTAATTTACCCTTTTATGTGTCGAATGATACAATGTACCCCTTACCTGAATAGCGGGCGTATTTTTCAAACCACTTCAACGGTCCGTCTAATGCCATTATACCTCTGAATTCACTCACAGCAACAGCCGAACGGCGGAGTTTGTTAATATTGCACACGGTAACTGCCGGGAATTGCTGGGTGGACGCAGTTTGTTTTCCGATTTTGACATCTATCTCATAGGCGAGATAGGACGAGACAGAAGAAAACACTTGTACGACAAACAAGAAGGCAGCGATCGTCAGTGTGACGGACCACAATATTCTTTGTCGTCGACACATCGTGTTCACCAACGAGTCAGCCATTTCGTTCGCAACTGAACTCATATCTGGCGGAAAATTAATCTCAGTCTGATAATGAAACCAAACATGTCACATTGTCATCATAATAACGTTACTTCTTTGTTTAATTTTTATTTGAGGGATTGCTTTGATATGTGCGAACGAGAGAAAATCCTAAAATAAAGAATCACAAATAACATACTTGCCTAAAACGGATGTTCTATGACCTGTCTGCTGACCGTCCCGTGCGACGAATGAGCAACACTATCGTCGTCGCAGTTATTAGTCTGACAATTATGTTTAAATGATTAATCATATAATCGCATATCTTATTAGCATAGCATTTTAGATCACGTATTTTATTACAGTGAATCGGCCCGTAAACATATTCATTAATTTTACACATATCAAACATTCTATATTTGACGCGATTGTCACTGGGATGACGTATGCCTGAACTCCAGTGTCCCGTGAAATGTCACTAGCCGCTGTTTAGTGACCTAATTATCTATATCACTGGGATATTACGGAATAGGTAGTGATACATAAATCATATAAGTAGGCCGTTATTATCACCTGGTTGTGACGTCACACTATCAGGGCATATGTGTGATATCATACCGGACTACTTTCAGAGTTTACATGATCTGATTTGCCGCTACGGCCAATAAGTTGGTTATGGTTTGAAACAACAAATATACATCTACTTGGTGAAACTACTGATATATTTACAATATTTATAGTCATTTTTGCACGCCTTAAATTTCCCATCCCTTCCCCATCGTAAGCCGCTCTCCTGAGATTTCACCAATAATAACAAAAACGCCGAAAATCTCAAGATTAGGAGTCAAAAAGATCAATCGGTTTATGCATATAGTGCATATTATTCATCTCAGTGACGTAATGTGAAATGTCACTATATGGCAAATGTCATAATATTCACGTTAATTTTCACCATGTGTGTAATAGTACACAACTAAAAAATCGTGCAACTGAGCCGTTCATAACACATCATTAGCAGAAAACACTTCGTCCGACCTACATAAAGCAGAAAGTATATACAAGAGTTCATTATGAGTTGACGCAAACTCAATATCATTGATTTAACTTCCATTGTAAAACTATAGAAAAATGTACCAAGAACGATAGTTCCACACTCATCGTCATCAGACCCCGAATCTGCATAATTTGAAACGTAAACATACTTCCTGAAATTCGTCTTTATACTACAAAAAGCAAAACAAAACTTAGCTTTCTGTACTCATGCTCTGTAGACATACACCTGCTTTGTTTCTCAAATTTGCTAGAATAATTAACAATCTTATCCATACGCTTAATTATTAACATTACGCATAATGAATATTCATGTAAAGTCTATATAAAGTCGGAAAATGATAATTAATCGTATCATATCAATCAAGACAGACACGAATTCTGTGCAGTATGGTAATTACAACATCACCTGGTAAAACTATTCCGGTAACCTCCGCTAGTTCTTTTGTTGTCGGCACGTTTGCAATGCTCATTTGGAAAACAGAAGCTGCATAGTTCGTCGTCAGGACCGAGGACATGTGCGGAGTAGAGGCGGCGGCACGAACTTTTGCATGGGGAGGGGGGGGGAGGATCTGCTCACAATCCCGCCCGACCTTAATAGGGGGTCAGGGGCATCTTCCCCTTAAAAAATTGAAATCTAGAACTTCTAAAATTTTGCTCTCACAAATGTTTTGGGCTAATCTGCACTGGCTCGGAAGGTTGTAAATGATTAGCTAGTTTGAATTTGCATAACAATACTGACAATGAACGTGCATTCAACGCTACAAGTTTTTTTGTTTTTTTAGCCAATCAGAATTCATCTTCCGAGCCAGTGCAGATCAGCCGAATGTTTTCAGCTTGATTTTAGAGGGCGCCCCCAACAATTTGTTTTCGATGGGACGACCACCCAGTGCCGCCATCACTTCGAAATGTACAGATTCCTTCACATGTACGGCAATGTTTATACCTTTTATCACATTCATTGGTTGGATATGTAGTTAGGTGTAACCACAGTTTTATCATTAGGCACTTATTAGTGTAAATATGTAATATGTGCACATCGGACGCGTACTTTTCATTACGTTCATTGGTCGTAATATTGGGATATTACGTGGCTTTGTTTTTCATTAGAAATGTATTAGCATAAAGCCGCCTAATGCATAAAGTTTTCGTTTGTATATTGAGATTTATTTTTCACAACATAAATTTATTGTAGTAGTTTGATAAAGCGCGGCTTTGTTTTGTCCTTCGTTGTAGCCTTTTTAGATTATTCAGATATTAGTATATAAATATACAAAATATGAATAGTTAAATAGATCCTGCCAAACGTGACGACATCACAATACAATGTACTCTGAATTATTAGTTCTGATGATTTATCTGTTTATTTGTCTGATTTATTTGTTGTTTTAAATAAAAATTACCGACAATTCTATCTAGTTTGTCACAAGTATTCAAAGTAATATTTATCTATTGAGAGTAATTATTATAATGTAGCTTCTTCACTGTAAGCAGTTCGTACGCCACAATAACTGCGTTTTGACCATAGTGTGGATTTGTGCATTTTGCAAGTAACACCATTAACCGAAATATACAATTTCAACTGTTTCACCATGGGCAAATACACACTACATATTTGTAGTATGTTTTATATATTTTTTTTATTCAATCTGAAATGTAAATTTATGAAATTGTTGACCTTAATACATATTCAATGTTATAATCTATGTTTTGGCAGATATATCTATAGGTTATATAGCTATACTGGACGCCATCATAGATTTGTAGGGATCAGTAGTCACAGAAAAAATAGCAAGATTGGTTTTACATTTTATTGACACAGTCTTGTTAACATGCTTACCAAAGTTTGTTATGGAGGCAGCAAATCAACACAAAAAGTCAGAGACAAAACAGTGACTATGACATTTTAAAATATAAATTTCAATAATTCATGTTTCCATGGTGTATAATTTAACCTGACCCTGTAGTGACATTAATGGTCAATAGGGAAACCTCAATTCACATGATTTTATGGCATATACAAATAGTTGTAGCATTAATGATAGGTTCCAATAATTACTTAAACATCACTTCAAAAGGTTTATTCAGGCTCATGTAAAAAGACTTGGTGATCTGAACTGCAGACACATCGGAAAAGCTAAACTACACACATCTTGAGATATTGGCGTATTTTGTGATATTTAGTAAAAAGTTCAATCTGTTTGCATGAACCATTCAGATTACCGGGACTGCCATTGACATAGTACGGCGATATATAAACATATTGCACTGCAAAATTACACGAGCCGCCATGGTTTGAATAACAATACTTATTATACATCTGTCACCGTAACACCATAAGGTACAGCGTACCGTAATTTTGCGGTATTTTACGGGGTATTTTTACTCTACTCTATAAGCAAATGCGTATTCCAAATTTGGTATGATTAAGCGTACTCTAATAATAAAAACAAACATGGCTGCCATTGGGGTTTGACCTGACTCCACACAAAACAGTTCGCTGATTCTGTTCTAAACTTTTTGGATTTCGGCATTCCCATGATGTATCCTTGGGTGGAAAAGACAGTACTCCAGCCGAACTGTCTTTGTGCATACTTTGCGGTATTCTCGTAATAACCTCATAGTATTATACGTTACAATTACTGATGTGTACAGATACAATAATATAGTGAATGTACTAAAATACACATATATCTTCCCTCGGGTAAGTGTGCCACAAATTCAAAGGCTAAAGCTAAGTCTACTGGTCGAGTTGAGAAGACTTCTGGTGAAGACTGCTTTGCCAGAACGAGGCCTGTGACAAACACAATGTTTCCCGAGTAGAGTTCAGTAACTTGGTTCGGTGGTTTGACATTTTAATTCACGGGGTCTGATATACACGATATACGAGTTTCTGTTTAAATCCGATTAATTTATTTTCTCTTACAATCAATCTTGGCATTGATTTTGAAATTACTGGATTTCAGCACACTGTCAGCGATTTCATTAGGAGCCATAACATGCCTTATATATTCCTGATTATTAGCACTATGAAATGAGACCTTAGAAGTCTGAACAATCTATTCAGACTGAATCAAACAAAAACTTAATCAAATGTGTATATTGTAGAATTCCAAACAACTTTCGGAAAACTTGAAATCAAGATGTTTTAAAATCTACCATCCATCAAGCGTTATTTCTAAATAGTTCACCATGAGGGTACAACAGCACATATTATGTTGTTGATAAAAGTGATACAAACACTTTCTGCACAGATGAAGGCGTGACCATTCGATCCAACATACTCCGCTTCTGTTGCAAGACTAAATTGCAGCATGCAAGCAATGTGGCAGGATACAGTGGGCTTCTTACACACCGTGCTGTTCGGATGAGTAAAATGAGCACATAGAAGTATAATTAAACTCGGGATTTCTCATTTCATTGATTCATTTGCTTATGAATTAATCTCACACAACACAAAATCACCAATCATTTTTGCATGCGGTGTTTTTCGTACCAGACTGATATGTGAAAAAAGTCCACACACATTTTACAACTTACCTGTCACACGCAACGTAATATTACCGTAATTGGTATAGCACAGGTTCAAATACCAAAATGGCAACAGTAACAAAAAGACTTCCCTGGCGGCGATGATAAAATACGAACACGGAGCCAACAGATGAGGTTTCAACTGGTACTGGTATTATTATACTCTGCAAACATCAAGTACAATAACGCGGTACAACTCCACTACTCCAATAACTAGATACTTAAACTCCAATACAATTCAACGAGATCTCCGATCTGATCTCAGTGCTGAACAACTCCCCTATATATACCCACACTGTCTATAAATAGACCATTACATCAGCATACATAATGAATCTGGAACTTACTACAAATTTCTAGAATGTTCCATTACCTTCTATTGCTTCCTACAGTGTCCTATTACATATTCAACCAACTTCTAAAAATTCCACCCAGACACA